GAGGCACAACATAAGAGGAAGAATGATGACCTGCTTGAGTGCTCCCGTCAGGAGAAGAAGCAAGAGTTGGGAATCAGCTTCCGGGACGAGCTAATGGAAGTTGATTGATATGGGGGCGGTTGTTGCCACGACCGTGGAACATATCGCATTTGAATAAATATTATGCGTCGTTGGAGACATGCTATCTTTAATTGTTTTCGTTTGTTAGTGGTTATGTTTTGAAGAGACAAGTAATAAAATTGCATTTGAAGTATTTTTGGCTTAATTATTTTCATGTGTGATGTGTGTGCAGGGCGCAAGCCTGTCAGTCTCGCCTACGCTCGCGGAGCTAGGCGACGACCTCCATAGGGCGCAAGCCTGTCAGTCTCGCCTACGCTCGCGGAGCTAGGCGACGACCTCCATAGGGCGCAAGCCTGTCAGTCTCGCCTACGCTCCCGGAGCTAGACGACGACCTCCATAGGGCGCAAGCCTGTCAGTCTCGCCTACGCTCGCGGAGCTAGGCGACGACCTCCATAGGGCGCAAGCCTGTCAGTCTCGCCTACGCTCGCGGAGCTAGACGACGAACTCCATAGGGCGCAAGCCTGTCAGTCTCGCCTAAGCTCGCGGAGCTAGACGACGACCCTCGTAGGGCGAAAGCCTGGTAGCCTCGCCTGAGCTCGCGGAGCTAGACGACGACCCTCGTTGAGCGAAAGCCTGGTAGTCTCGCCTGAGCTCGCGAAGCTAGACGACGACCCTTGTAGGGCGAAAGCCTGTTAGTCTCGCCTAAGCTCGCGGAGCTAGACGATGACTCTTGTGGGGCGGAAGCCTGGTAGCCTTGCCTAAGCTCGCGGAGTTAGGCTAGGGCGCAGGTTGTGCCCGGTGACGACCTTTATGATTAACAAGGCTGTCGCGTAATGTTGAGAATGCGAGTTGGAAAACTTAGCAATAATTGTGCTAGGTGCAAAAGCCCATTGTCACGATGCTAAGTATTGACAAGGCTTGGTGAATGACGCTCGTCTCGAGCGGGAAATCGTAGCTACTTGTGTAAGTAATATATTATGCAAGGACGAGCAACTGAAATGGGTGAGTAACAAAATGACGGCATTGCATTCATCCATGGTGCTAGCTAATGGTAGAAGACTAAATAAGTTCACGATTACATGCCCAAATAGAAAGGTTCACAAGCGAGACTAAATAAGTTCATGACCAAATAGAAAAGTGCACAAAAGACTAGATGGGTTCATGACTACATAACAAAAGAAATCGCACGCCAGTCGATAGAGGGAACCCCGAGCCCTGCTACTAAGGAACCATCTCTATCTCGGCACCAGCAGCAACGACAGCAGCCTCCAGGGCCGGCTCCCACCAAGGATGGGTCAGCGGGAGAGATGGGTCGCCATGCCACCCTTCGGGGTTAGGAAGGCCTTTCCTTAGCTTGCCTTCATCCGCGGAGAAGGCTCTGAAGCCTTGAGCATGTGCCTCGGCTTGGGTCCGCTCGACCCCTGCTCTGAAATACTGGAGGCAGCCCTTGACAACCCGCTGGAGAAACACCTTGGAGTCGTGGTAGCGCGTCAATAGCTCGTCTCGGTAGCACTTGAGGAAGCGTGTCCCGAACTCTGAGTCGAGGTATGTAGCTCGGGCCTCCTGCTAGGCCTGGACGATGCGCTCGTCAAAGGATCGTCGAAGAGCCTCTAGCTCGCCCTGGAGCTCTTCCTTCTCGGCCTTCTCCTTGGCAAGATCCTGCTTGAGGGTAGCAACCTGTGCATCCCTCCTAGCCACCTTGCCCTTCAGTTTCTCCATTTCCTCGGAGTCACCTTCCATAGCCTCATTGAGGATGGGGGCTAGACCGGCCATAGCCTGTTGAAAAAGATAGAAGTGGCTGGGTGTTAACTTCATGAGATTTAAGTGCGACAAGTATAAAGTTGAGATGTAGGGGTGTACCTGACTGAGATGAAACATGGTGTCACTGGCTCGGTGCTCCTTAGTTGGCCACTTGACTGTCTCGCGATCGGGGAAGATGGAGAGGAAGTAGGAGACTGAGGCCTCTGTGTCTTTGTTGCCCGCGAATTTCTCCGGCACGGTAATGGTGCGCGGCTCGTCGCTCTGGGAAGTGACCTTGCGCTTCTTTGAGAAGTTCCCGATTGGTGGTTGGCGGTAGCGCTGCTTTGGAGTCGTCT